CTCCCGGATTGTGTCTTTTTTTTTTTTTTTTTTTTTTTTGAGAAGGAGTCTTGCTCTGTTGCCCAGGCTGGAGTGCAGTGGCGCAATCTCGGCTCACTGCAAGCTCCGCCTCCCAGGTTCACACCATTCTCCTGCCTCAGCCTGCCGAGTAGCTGGGACTACAGGCGCCCGCCACCACGCCCAGCTAATTTTTGTGTATTTTTAGTAGAGACGGGGTTTCACCATGTTAGCCAGGATGATCTCGGTCTCCTGACCTCGTGATCCACCCGCCTCGGCCTCCAAAGTGCTGGGATTACAGGCATGAGCCACCGCGCCCGGCCCGGATTCGTGTCTTTCAAGCTCACTGGGGCTGCCGGGAGGAGGCTGGGTTGCGGGGCAGAATAAAGAAGGCGGGAGAGAGCTGGCCGGCCCGAGCGTGCAGGGGAAAGAAGGGGAGGGCACCGGCCCTTCGCGCCTCTGACCCCCTTGCCTCCCCTCGCCCAGGGCTGCGCTGCTATGCCAAATTCCACCGGAACCGCAGGGTTACACGGAGGAAAGGGCGCTGCGTGGAGCCCGAGACGGCCAACGGCGACCAGGGATCCTTCATCAACGTCTAGCGGCCCCGCGGGACTGGGGACTGAGCCCGGGAGGTTTGCACAAGCCGGGCGATTTGTTTATAACTAGCAGTGGGAGATCAAGTGGGGGAACAGATGACTGAGGCTGCAGGCTCAGGCCCAGTACACTCGACCCCAGGAGGGGAGCCGCTCGACGAATGAGCTGGGTGGGTGCCCAGGAGCCGGTCCGCAGCACCTGCACACCCACAGTCCGGTCCCACGCAGCCTCCATCCCGCGTGTCTTGCTCTCAGCGATGGCAATGCCGAGAGTGCCCTCTGCTGTTCAACTCCAGCACTGCAACAGCTTCAAGTTCAAAACCAAGTGGCGTTTTTGAGAGTGGAAAAGAAATTTAAACTTCCCGAAAGAAAGTCCACCGGCAGGAGATGAATATGGATACCAGGCACTGTGCTAAGTGCTGGAATACATTATCTCACTGAATTATCAAAACGACCTTTTCAAGTAGGCATTATCACCATGCGACAGGCTGAGGACCCTGAGGCACGCTGGAGTTATTTAACCTGACTTGCCCAGGGTCAATGCTCCTCAAACCTGAACATGCTAAGAGTCACCTGGAGGTCCAGTTAAAAATGTACATCTGGCTGAGCGCGGCGGCTCACGCTTGTAATCCCAGCACTTTGGGAGGCCAAGGCAGGTGGATCACCTGAGGTCGGGAGTTCGAGACCAGCCAGGCCAACATGGGGAAACTCTGTCTCTATTAAAAATACAAAAGTTAGGCCAGGCGTGGTGGCACAGGCGTATAATCCCAGCTACTCGGAGGCTGAGGCACCAGAATCACTTGAACTTAGGTGGCAGAGGTTACCGTGAGCAGAGATCGTGCCACTGCACTCCAGCCTGGGGGACAAGAGTGAAACTCCATCTCAAAAAAAAAAAAAGCACATCCGGCTCACTGGGCTCTGTGCTCTAACAAGCTCCCACGGAATGCGATGCTGCCGGCCCAGGGACCCCACTGAGAGGTCCTGGGAAGTACATGGCAGAGCAAGGACCTGAACCTGGGCCAAGGCTGTCCAGCTCCAAGGCCCACGTTCTTGCGACCCCACAACCAAGAATTTCTTCCAGATACTCCAAGGCTTTTGGCAAGAGAGGTTCACACCCTGGTAGTCCCTTTCTCTGCGGCTGAAATAGTTTGACTGTTCTCTGCCTTCCCTGGACAAAGCTGTATCATGTTTAAAAACAAAACAAAATACAACTTAAGCACATACTTGCTTGCAGGAATGAGTTGGGCAGGTTGATCCCTGTGGTCTGGTAGCTGATATCCTGGAATATGAAGTGTTTGGGGAAAAGAATCATGTTGGCCTTTATGTCCCTATGGTCCTGCTCATCCAGTCCTGGCCCTTAGGCACTTTACAGCTTTCTGGAGAGCTTCCACCCCAGGGGTTCTGATGCGAGCATGGACTCAAAAAAACCCCACACATATTGCCCACATTTACCCACTTTGCATACTGTTTAGTGATTTCCAGGACCACAAAACCATCCCTGGACCCCACCCCACATTTTTGCAGCAGAGCCCGCTGGGAAGTTGAGGCTCGTCTGAAATTGAGGTGCTATCTGAAGCTAACTGCCCCCAACAGGCCAGATTCTCAATGCCCACCCAGAACATCTGTCCCAGTAGATCTGGCTTCAGGGGTCACTTCAGGAAAACCATTTTGGCATCTCACTCCTGGCCAACCCTCTGTTCCAGGGCGAACCAGGTTGCAAATGACAAAAGACTTTCCTGGCCAAATTCCTCACTGGCCTGGATCACGCCCATAAGATGCCAGAGATGTTTACTGCGCTGGGAAAATCAGTGGGGGTCAGGGGTCAGGCACCAAGGCAAGCAGGCAGATCTAGAAGAAACTAAATATGCTTGTTCTCTCCCTATCCAAGTTTGGTGGGCATGGAAACCTTGTGGGGAGGGAGCAGAGAGGGCAGGGGAACTGGGAGATCAAAGCAGGCTAGCTGAAAGGCAGATATGGCTGGGCACAATGGCTCATGCCTGTAATCCCAGCACTTTGGGAGGCTGAGGTGGGCGGACCAGTTGAGGTCAGGAGTTCAAGATCAGCCTGGCCAACATGGCACAACCCTGTCTCTACCAAATATACAAAAATTAAGACCGGGCACGAGGGCTCATGCCTGAAATCCCAGCACTCTGGGAGGCCCAGGTAGGCAGATCACTTGAGGTCAGGAGTTCAAGACCAGCCTGACCAACGTGGTGAAACTCTGTCTCTACTAAAAATACAAAAATTAGCCAGGCATGGTGGCAGGTGCCTGTAATCCCAGCTACTCAGGAGGCTGAGGCAGGAGAATCACTTGAACCCAGGAGGTGGAGGTTGCGGTGAGCCAAGATCACACCATTGCACTCCAGTCTGGGTGACAGAGTGAGACTCCAAAAATACAAAACACTTAAAAAATTAAAAGGACAGATCTGCCAGCAGCTTCGTACTTGAGACCAGACAACCCACATGCTGTGTGTGCCTCACATTAAGTGGTGACTGGGGACCGTGCTGGCTCTGTGGGGCTAGAACCCTAAGGAGTACCGCAGGAAGAAAGCATGACTATGGCTAGGGGACAGCTGTTAGACGGTCCTAGGACATCAGCCATGGAGAACACAGAGGGTCAGGACAAAGCTAAAAGGCTCACAGAACTGTCACTGGTTGCCAGGGCAGTTCCATGGTTGGAAATTCCAGGCCCATCTCTTTGCCCTAGCTATCTCTATTTGACATTTCCAAAGAGGCATGGGTGGATGGAACCTCTTAACTCCAGAGCTGGGAATCCCAAAGCCCTGTCAAGTGTCTAACCAACCTCTCTGCCAGGAAGTTCTTCCTTAGGTCTATCTTAACATTTATTTTGCTCATACAGAAGCCAATTTCCTCTAATCCAGGATTTAGAAAACTTTTACTGTGAAGGACCAAATAAATATTTTAGGCTTTGCAAGCCATCCGATCTCCACCAGCTACTTAGCTCTGCCATAACTTGAAGCAGCCACAGACAGTGTGTGAATGAATCCATGGCTATGCTCCAGAAAGACTATTTATGGACACACATGTGAATTCCATATAATTTTCACATGTCACAAAATATTATTCTCTTTCTTTTTTTTTTTTTTTTTTTTTTTGGAGATGGAGTTTTGCTCTGCTGCCCAGGCTAGAATACAGTGGCTTAATCTCAGCTCACTGCAACCTCTGCCCCCAGGTTCAATCAATTCTCCTGCCTCAGCCTCCCAAAGTGCTGGGATTACAGGCGTGAGCCACCGCACCCAGCCAAAACCATTTTTCTTTTTTTGAGATGGAGTTTTGCTCTGCTGCCCAGGCTAGAATACAGTGGCTTAATCTCAGCTCACTGCAACCTCTGCATCCCAGGTTCAAACAATTTGCCTGCCTCAGCCTCCCAAGTAGCTGTGATTACAGGCATGTGCCACCACACCTGGTTAATTTTTGTATTTTTAGTAGAGATGGGATTTTACCATACTGGCCAGGCTGGTCTTGAACTCCTGACCTCAGGTGATCCGCCCGCCTCAGCCTCCCAAAATGCTGGGATTACAGGTGTGAGCCACCACACCTGGCCACAAAATATTATTAGTTTAATTTTCTAAAACCATTTAAAAGTGCAAAAACTGCTCTTAGCAGGCCAACTGCACAAAAACAGGCAGTGGGACAGATTTGGCCTGAGGACCACAGTTTGCCAACCCCTGCTCAAGCCTGCTTGCTCTCAACCTTGGCTGCACGTTGCAACAATCTGGGAATATTAAAAGGCCTGGGACCCACCCACAAAGCTTCCGCTTTGTTTGGTCTGGGTTTCATAGCTTTTTCCCCAGGTAACTCCACGTGCAGCTGGGGCTGAGAGCCTCCGCTCTCCCCTTCCATCTGTAGCAGTGCAGCTGGTGATAAATCCACCTATTCCACCTCTCACCGCCTTGGCAACCTTAGGAAAGTTTCTTAAGGTCTCTGTGCCTTGATTTTTTCATCTGTAAAATGGGGATAACTCTCCCTTCATAGGGTTGTTGTGAGTACTGAATGCATACTTCGTTTTGATTTTTTTTTTCTTTTGCGACAGAGTTTCACTCTTGTTGCCCAGGCTGGAGTGCAGTGGCGCAATCTCAGCTCACTGCGACCTCTGCCTCCCAGGTACAAGTGATTCTCCTGCCTCAACCTCTCAAGTACCTGGGATTACAGGCAAGCACCACCATGCCCGATTAATTTTTGTATTTTTAGGAGAGATGGGGTTTCACCATGTTGGCCAGGCGGGTCTCAAACTCCTGACCTCAGGTGATCCACCTGTCTCAGCCTCCCAAAGCGCTGGGATTACTAGGCGTGAGCCAGCGTGCCTGGCCTGTGAATGCAGAATTCTTATAAGGTGTTTAGAACAGTGCCTACCACCTAATAAACCTCCAGTGTTAGCTAATTCGTTATTCTAGGAGAATTTTAGGAGATGTTTGGTTCTTTGACAATGACCCATCACATACTCTGAGATCATTTCTATTCAAGCTCTATTCTATTCAAGTCACTATTCAAGCTCCTTCCCCAAAGTGTGTTCCATAGAACACTGGGACCATGAGATGCTCCATTAGAAAGGGGCAGGGTACGACTTCCGTGGTCAAAGAGGTTTGGAAAACTGTGCTGGCCTCAGCCCTTGGCAGCATGTACAGATTCCAGGCACCGAGGCAGGGCTGGAGGAGTAAGTGACTTTGCAATAAGATAGGTGCAGGAGTCTAAAAAGACACCCTGGGTGGACTGGGGGAGCTGAGCAGGAGGCCACGTGGCAACCAGTAGCTGCTGGGCCTGTGGCCTGAGCCCTCCTGCACTCCTCCCGCTGGAGTCTCACCGCGGATCCCAGGAATCCCTGCTGTTCCCACAGGGCTGCCATCCCATGGTTTGTCTGGAGACACCAAGAGTGGTTTCCATGCCTGCTGGGAATAGGCTGAGCATGCAATGACATGACGGCCAAGGCTTGTGGGAAAATGACAGCTTCACAGCCCCTTGAGGAGTGACCAAGCCACAAAGTAAATCCTAAAGCCACAACCCCTTCTACCACTGAGCTGCTGGAGGTGGGTCCTTATTTTAAGCCACATTCAACCCACCCAACAAAACCTAACATTGAGGTGGTGGGCGCACGGCCCCTGCAGTGCGGTTCACTCACAGCTGCAGAGACAAGGTTTATAAAACAACAGAACAGCCAGGAAAACGGTGCTGGGACAGACAGTGGAGAGGCCAGAGAAGCAAACCACTGTGGCTCCTCACTGGGGGTTTCTGGGGTTGGACTGAGCCCTGTCACCTCTGTGATAGTCTTCACTTTCACAGGCAATAGTGACTGTGTGTGTTTCCTGGGGAGGAGGTCGGCAGGGAAGGTCACCGTTCCTGGGAAGGGCGGTTTGCAGAACCAGGGGTTTACATTGCAGGGAGTGTATTTTCTGAATTCTAAGTCAGAACAAGTGGTCTGATACAGGATCCATGGCCGGGTCACTTCTGGGTGCAAAAGGCTTTCTAGACCTTAGACACTCAGATGATGGTCCTGGGCTGGCAACAGCACCTGGGAGCTTGGTAGAAATACAGAATCTTAGCCTGGGCAACATAGGGAGACCTCGTCTCAGCAAAAAATAACAAAATTATCCGGGCACGGTGGTGCACACCTGTAGTCCCAGCTATTCTCCAGGTTGAGGTGGGAGGATCACTCAAGCCCAAGAGGTCGAGGCTGCAGTGAGCCATGATTGCGCCACTGCACTCCAGCTTGGGCAACAGAGTGAGACCCTGTCTCAATAAACGACAAAAAACAAAAAGAGATGCAGAATCTTGGGCCCCACCACCCCACGCCTACTGAGCCAGAATCTCTGGGGATGGGGCCCAGCCATTTGGCTTTTCACAAGTTCTCCGGGTCATTCTTGGGCACGATCAAGCTTGCGAATCACAAGTCTAGGATGCGACGGGGAAAACAGAAATGTGGAGTGGTCAGGGACATTCGGATAATTCGGGGTATTTGTATTCAGGTGTGAGTTGGCAAATCTGAGACCTGTTTTGCCTAGCTAATTACCAGCAATAGCAAACTCCCAGGCTCTGAGGCCCAGCCTCCTGGGCTGCAACTGGTCTTTATTTTTGGGGTAAATGAATGGAGCACCTCGGCCTGGGACCCTTAGTGTAGGGTTTTCTGACTCTTAGGCAATTTCCTAGGGTGCTGTAGTTCCTCTTTAAAGTTCGGAAGCGGCAGGGGCAGGGGGAGGTGCCACACCCTTGTAGTCCCATGATGTCATATTGCATGTGCTCTTGGGCTGTAAATAAAGAGATTTTAAAAGCCCACCTGGCGTCTCTCTTTGTTCCTCCAGGAGATGGTTTGCCTGTGCTGGTAGTGAGCTCCATAGGGGCATTTGGAGGGGACCCTAAGCCTGGTGTTCCACCTACGACTTCTCAACACACTGGACTGAGCATTTGCCCCAAGCTAAGCAGCAAACAAGGCAGACAGGGTCCCTGCCCTCGCCTGGTCCTCATCATAATCCCTCAGCCAGACCTCTTGACTGTGAGTCCCAGATTTTTTTGTTTCCTTTTTTTTGGAGACAGAATCTTGCTCTGTCACCCAGACTGGAGTGCAGTGGCACGATCTCAGCTCACTGCAACCTCCAACCCCCAGGTTCAAGCAATTCTCATGCCTCAGCCTCCCGAGTAGCTGGATTACAAATGTGCGCCACCATGCCAGGCTACTTTTTGTATTTTTAGTAGAGACGGGATTTCACCGTGTTGGCCAGGCTGGTCTCAAACTCCTGACCTCAAATGATCCACCCACCTCGGCCTCCCAAAGTGCTGGGATTCCAGGCGTGAGCCACCGCACCTGGCCAGAGTCCCAGATTTTTATCTCCCTTCCCATTTTAGGGTTGGGGCAGCCGGGGTCCTAAAGAGATGCTGAGGTGGGTTGCAGCAGGCTGGTCCCCAGCAGCTTCCTTCCGAGCCAAGGTGGCTGAGTGCAGAGAAGAGCAGACGCAGGACTCCTGCAAGATAAGAAAGGACAAGGCAGCTCAATGGAAGCCAGGGCTAGGGCAGGGTCCGATGCCA